TGCGTAGGGAGATGGAAATGCTTTGTATTTTGATTTCTAAAAATTTTTATTTATGTCTAAAAGAACTGGGTCAGATGTGCAGGGGTGAGAGGAGTCACCAGAGACAGGGTAGGGAGCGGAACAGGCAGATTGACGAAGTACACTGCTGAGGGGAGCAGCGGGGAGACAAGAGGGGTCTTCTTTGCCATGTGGGTCAGCTCCCCGACCATCTGGGATCGAATTCGTGCTACAGTGGCTGTGGATAGCTTGATAGTGCTGAGACTTTAACCTGTGTGCCACGAGGGAGACCCTGTATTTTGATTTTGTTTTTATAAAGGAATGTACATTTTCCAAATTAATTGAACTGTTTACTTATATCTTTGCATTGAATTATATATAAATTGTATCTCAATTTGAAAAGTGGCTTAGGCAAGCAATGTAGGGAGTCCTGTAACAGACATCCAGAGGACAGCTTCAGGCCTGGCTTGATCCAGGGCTGAAATGACCAGCTCTGTTCCTCCAGGGTTGGCTTCGTTTCTAGGGAGACACTCCCCTGTGGGTGATAAAGTCCACTGGGGTAAATTGAACTCCACTTCCTGATGGGCTCTGATTTCCACCATCAGGTACTTACCCCTGACCAGTTTCTAACTGGTCACACATGAGTCAGAAGTTCTTCCCCTTGGAAGGACATGATGGGTTTACTACCTCTGACCTCTTGGGCTGCCAGGTGGGAGAGAGGGATCAGACACAAGGCATGTCTAGGGGTTTGTGCTGAGCCACCCCCACAGCCACCCGTTCCTAATGGTCATCTGCTGCCCCAGGGTCCACACGGACTGGCCGGCACAGGGGAGATGCCCAGGAATCTGGTGAGAAAGCTGAGCTTTCACTCAGCACTTGCTTTTTGGGTGACAGAAGCAGATAACGGGGCTAGCCTCTGGCCGTGGCAAAGCTCCCTTACTGGACGACCTGCCACAGTGACCCTTGAGACAGGGCAGGTCAGCTACCCCTCCTTCTCCCTGTAGCCAGGCCAGGCCGGTGGGACAGGTGTTGACTTGGTCTCTGGCACATCCCTTCTGCCAGCACTGGACTACTCTGCCTGCTGTGGACCAATCATGACTGTGTGGCCAAGCTGTGGATCCACCCCTGGAGGAGGCCGGTGCATGGCCCACAGCCTGTGGAGAGGCCAGGGGGGTCTTTCTCACCTCTCCAGACTCAGAAAGTTTCCTGAAGCTCTGTGGGCGTTTCTGGTATTTGTAGCCAGGCCCAGCATTCCTACCTGTCAGTAAGAAGTAATGTAGTTTTGGGTCCAATTACTCCATCACATCTAATCCCAAGCATTCCTGTGTCTTATCTGGAAACTAGACTCCACATCACATCTGTGGGCTGGTTTGGGCGTGGCAACTCGGGACAGCAGAAGTTGGGTAAAGTATAGGAGCAGGAAAGTTCTTATCCCTGAACTGGAGTGGCTGCTTATCTCAGCTCTGGGAATGCACATAAAAGGAATTAGTTATTAAAGCTTCTCCGTAAAATGGAGCCTGGCTTTGGTGAACCATGTAATTGAGTCAGATCGAACCTCCCCTTCATAGTAATTTTAGGAAGTGCCGAGGAAAGAGGATGGCAATTATTTTAGCCCTTTACTAGCAAATTAGCTTAATATTAAAGAACACTTTTATCACCTATCTGAAAAAAGACAATTAGTCTTTTAATTTTTTCTTTTAAATCAGGGGTCATTTAATGGCTTGAAAAGATGTTAACTTGGAGACCATTCCAGGTCGAATTCTGAATCCTGTGGAATTGGAACTTGGTGGTAGCTGCGTGGGGCAGGTGGGTGGTGACCTGCTGGAAGTGGGAATGTGGGAGGGGACGGTCACTAGCTTCTGACCTGTAGCCAAATGCCACTGGATTTGAAGATCCTGAGGAGGTTGGGGCTACAGGTAGCCAACCTACTTGCCCTCTTTGGAGGGAGACCCTGGGGGGCAGAGGTTGGTGTGCAGAAAGCCGGGAGAAAGGGCAGGTCTCCACTGAGCACCGCTCCCCAGCACAGCCTCTTCCGGGAGTCACCACGGCCCCATGGCGCCCAACCTAAAGATAAGCTCCATAAGGACCCTCACCCACCTCCCGGCCCTGGGGTGGAAAGAACACCATTTGGCTCGAATGATACCTTTGTCTTGATCTTAAGCTTTATAGAATGGAACACTACAACCCAAATACTCAGGGAACAATGGCAAAGAACAGCCAATAACTGCAAAGATATGCGCATGATCAATACTAGATGAGAAAAGAATGCTTATCTCCACGGTGCAAACAGTGACGGTGCAAACAGTGACAGTCGGTGCAAACAGAAAGAATGACAGACCTGCTGTATGTGTCCCTTGGTGAAGATTAAAATCATGCTTTTCAGCTTGACAAAAAGACAAACAACTGAGTTTAAAATGAGCAAAGCATCTGATTTGATTTTCCTCCAAGGAAAGTAAACCAGGGACCAAGAAGCACATAAAAAGGTGTGCAAGCTGCCAACCGATGTATCAGGGAAATGCAAATCAGAACTGCAGCGAAAAAGGCAATGAACGGCATTGCTGGGGGTCAGGATACATCACACGTCTCACACATGGTCACAGGATGCCGAAGCGAGAGCCACCGTGGACGGGGCTGTCAAAGTTCCCGGAGTGGCCGAGCACAGAAGGGTCCGTGCCATGGCGTAGCAGTTCCCCTCCCAGGTAAACAGACAGGAAGACACCCACATGAAAACGTAAACAAATAAGAAGACTTATTCAGAATAACCCAATAGGGAAAACACTGGCCAGCTGATGAATGAATAAACGTGCTATGTCCATGACGTGGAGTATTAATCAGGGATGAAACTGCGTTGGGGTGGACCTCGAAACCATGCTGCCGAGTGCAAAAAGCCCACCGCAAAGGGCTGTGATTTGTAGGGTTCCACTCATATCAAGTGTCCAGAGGAAGCAAGCTAATAGACAGAAAATAGATTTGGGGGCCTCCCTGGTGGCGGAAGGGTTTAGTCTCAGCACTGTGAAGCTGTCCATAGCCACTGCAGCCAGAATCCCCAGCCAGAGAGTGACCCAGCAGCAGACCTCTCCTGTCTCCCTGCTGCTCCCCTCAGCAGTGGATTTCAGTGGATCTGCCTGTTCTGCTCCCCACTCTGTCTTTGGTGAATCTCTGACACCCTGTAAAAAGTCACATTCACAAATAATCATCAAATAACTATATATAATAGCAGATGTATGGAAACAGTTTAAGTGTCTAACTAGGGAAACGGTAGATCCTTTTTAAAGGCATCCTTATGCATGCAGCTATCGGAAACAGCTTCGGGAGGGGTGACGGGAGCAGCCGTGTGGTGAAGGGTGAAACTGGCATCTCCACAGCAAGCTTCATGTTATATATAGACGGCTGTCAGTAACGCTCACCTGAAGCTCCTATAATGGTCTAATGCACTGTGACTTCAATAACAAAGCAAGGAATTAACTGTATCAATAAAAAAGAAAATGTTTTTGAGTAACAATTTAAAATAGAAGAAAAAAAATTTTTTAAAGATTTATTTATGCATATAGAACTGGGGTACAGGCCAGAGGTGCATGGGCCAGAGGTAAATCCTCTCACCAGAGGCTTCCCCAGGGACAGAGTGCGGAGCAGAACAAGCAGACTGACAAAGTCCACTGCTGAGGTGAGAGGTGTGCTGCACCCTGTGGGTCACCTCCTGGGTGAGGATCGACCTCACGCTGAAGCATCTATGGCGAGATTCACTGCTGAGTTTTAACCTGTTGTGCCGTCTGAGAGGGCCCCTACCTTTGACATTGCTTCACAGGTCCACAGAGAGGGGGAAAGTGACTTGTTTCTGACCTG